GGTAGGCTGACTTCAGACAAAAAGAGAGCCGACAAATGGTGAGTGAAGGTAGCAGTGCCACAGTGACAACAAAACCAAATGATAGACCTGAAAATCATCCAAAATGAGGCAATGAATCTGCACTCTTTGTACCTGTAGCTTATTATTGGGAATAAAGAACCTTCTTTCTGATGCCAGTCCATCATTTTCCAGAATTGAAAAGTTACACTCATATACTATTAGAGACTAGACAGACATCAGAAAAGGGCCCTTCCTTTCTACCACAGTTTGAAAAACAAAAAGACGCTAACCTTTTTTAAGATAAATTAAACAAATAAAAGAAGCAAACTGTCCCAAGTCTTGCACCTGTTTCAGTGGCAACAGGGATTATCTAAATGGTGTTGAAGAAGGGTTGTCAGTATTTAGATGATGAAAGGTTCCATGAGTGCTTGTTTTGGGGACAGAATAAAGCAGTGCAGCCACAGAGGTAAGGAGTCCCTGAGGACAGTAGCCCAGCTTTGTAGCTTGCATATTTCCCCATGCTATTTACATGTTTACAAAAACCTAACAGATGTTTGAATGCCATGCACGGTGTCCAGCAGTTGTACTCAGGAAAAGCAACAACGTTAGGAAGTCTCATTACAGCCTATTTATCATTTCCATAAAATTATGTCTTATTATGCAATGATCAGGATTTCTAAGCCACTAAGAAACTCTGAATTGACAAGGATTTGCTTTGTGGAACAGCCCCTAAAACAGAACAAATTTAATTATACAGGGTCTTACCCTGCGGGAGAGGTGATCCTTACAAAAAATGTGTGTGTACTTAAAGCATGATGAGTATCTCATAGTTAGGTGGGTATGTTTCCATTTAGAAGACTCAGCCATAGTTAGGGAGACAGGAGCCAGGTCTAGATCCCCAAAGAAGTTACTAATGAACTAATCAAGGGATTAGGGCCATCTCCAAAGGGACCAGAATTCAGGGCAAGACTTCAACCAGAGGACACTTAGGAAATCAAGCCAATCAAAGAGTAGATGAAAATGGAGAAGACTGGAGAAAATGGAGATACAGTGTAAGACTCTGGATGGCTGAACCAAGAAGATGCTCAAATGTGACCACCTTGGGTACATAAGCTATCAGGCTTAGACAGTCAAGACTTATCCAGGCACAAAAGTTGAAAAAGAGTAAGACATCTGACAACCTGTGGAATGGGAGAAAATATTTGCAAACCATATATTGGATAAGGGGTTAATATCCAAAATATATAAGAAACTCATACATCTCAATAGCAAAAAAAAAAATTTTTTTAAATCCATTAAAAATGGGCAGAAGTTATGAATGATATTTTTACAGAGAAGATACATAAATGGCCAACAGGTACATGAAAAGATGTTCTAATATCACTAATAATCAGGGAAATACAAATCAAAGCCATAATGAGATATCACCTCAAACCTACTAGAATGGCTATTATCAACAAGACAAGAGATAACAAGTGCTTGCAAATGTGGAGAACAGGGAACCCTCATGCACTGTTGGTGGGAACATAAATTGGTGCAGCCAGTATGGAAAACAGTGTGGAGGTTCCTCAAAAAAATTAAAAGTAGAGATACTATATAATCCAGCAGTTCCACTCCCAGGTATGCATCAGAAGTTAATGAAATCACTATCTCAAAAAGATATCTGCATTCCCACATGTCCGTTGCAGCATTATTCATAATTGCCAAGACATGGAAACAACCTAAGTGTTCATCAACAGATAAATGGGTAATGAAAGTGTGGTATATATAAAATAGATGATTATTCAGCCACCAAAAAGAAGGAAATCTGCCATTTTTGACATCATGGATGGACCTTGAGGGTGTTATACTAAGTGAAATAAGTCAGACGGAGAAAGACAAATACTGCATTATCTCTCTTATATGTGGATGTAGAATCTATTAAAAAGCCAAACTCATAGAAAAAGAGCATAGAATAGTGGTTGCCAGGGGCTGAGGAGTGAGGGAAATGAGGAGACATTGATCAAGGGATACAAACTTCTAGTTATAAGATGAATAAGTTCTGGGGATCTAATGTACAGCTGGTGACAATGCTGTGTTGTATACTTGAAAGTTGCTAAGAGAGTAGAGCTTAAATGTTCTCACCATACACACAAAAATACTATAATTATGTGAGGTGATCAATGTGTTAACTAACCTTATGGTGGTCATTACTTCACATATATATGTATATCAAATCATCACACTGTACATCTTAAATTTACACAATGTTACATGTCAATTATATCTCAGTAAATATGGGGAGGAAAAGGAAAGAATAAGCTCTAAGTTACTGTCAGTCTTGGTTATGATTAAGACGGGAATTTTGCCTGTAAAGTAAGTTGCTTCGGTACCTGTATCAGGATGGATCTGCAAAGGCAAAGACTAACTCTGCACATTCATAGCAGCCCCATACCTGCTCCTCTTCCAGCCCCCTGTCCCCTCTTGTAAGTATCATGAAATTATAGAATATCTCTGAATCATGGTCAGAAGTGGCAGATTCTGCTTTTGAAAGTGGGAGGCCAGCAGTGTTACCTCTCTGACCTCACTGCCTACCTCTCCCTACCTTGCCTTCTTGTTCCGTAGACACACAGAAGGACAAGAACCTTAGGGCTTTGCATGTGCTGCTCCTTCTGACTGGTTCAAGCTTCCACCACATCTACCAATGACTCAGTCCTTCCTGTAATTCGGTTTTTAGCTCAAACCTGGCCTCCTCGGTGAGAACCTTGTTGATCAGTTTTTCTAAATTACCTTGTTCTCCCCCAGGCATTGATCACATCACATCAGAGTTCATGTTGAAATCTGAAATTATCTTGTGGGGTTTTTAATTTGCTTGCTCAAATGGCAGATGCACAAGGAATTTTCTTGTCATATACTGTGTTAAATGAATAAACAGTCACCGTGCTTCTCTTGCAAAACCCTGTGCCTTAGTGTAGTTGATGAAGTTTCAACACATGAACACAGGAGCCATAAACATTGATTTGTCAGTATTTAGTATTTGGGTATTTTGTCAGTGCCAAGGAGCAACTGGAGACTTGACCATCTTTGTAAAAGTGCAAGGGGCTGGCTGGGATGGAGGACCCAGAGAGCTTCATAAGCAAAGAAGGTCTCTGAACCAAAAATCAGAGTTGCCTGTGAACAGCAAGATGGATTATCAGTAAAAATGGCCTTTTTTCCCCTTCATTTGCAATTATTTACAGTGCATTTTTTTAACTGATCAACTATGTAGTTGATAGGCTTGGTTTCTCATCACTTGGTCTGGCTTTTAAAGATATTCTTCATTTTGATGAAAATCTTCATTACGAGCCCCTTGACTGGATGTAACATTAAAAACAAAAACCCCAAACAACACATATTCAAGTAATGTGGGCTTTGGGGCAGTGGGAAGAAGACAGGACTAAGAATAAGGAGACCCAGATTATGAGGTCAGCCCTAAACAAGTTCCTCTGATTCAGTCAATAAAAAATGTATACTTCCAGGTACTGTTTAGTAAATTCAGTTAGTGAATATGACAGACAAAGTTTCTGTCCTTCAGGAGTTATGTTCTACTAGGGGATAGGAAGAGGGAGATAAAAACCACCTTTGCTGGTCTGCAGTTTTATCTTCTAAAAGTACAATATGTGGGCATTAAACTAGATTATCTGTAAAGTTTCTCCCAGCTCTACACATTCTGAAAGGAAAGAAAAGTAATTTTGGAAGGCTTGGCAGTGGTTATTTTAGGGGAGTAAAATCATGGATGATTTTAAATTTCTTCCTCTTTTTGTTTATCTTTGCTTCCTGATATTTTTTCTATAATAAACATGTATTACATATCCGATGGAAAAATGTTGAAGAAAACAGTAGATTTTACTATCAAACCTGGGTACTGGTTCTTAATAACCTGAAGGGAGGTCATTCATCTGTTAGTAATGAGCATCGTCTTCCCCCTCCAGTGACTTACTTATTACTTTACCTAATGAGGCTTTGAGGAAACTGCTAAGGGAATCTTTCTGCTCCTTTTCTCATTACCTCTGTGTGTGCTACCAGCTTATTCTCTTTTCCCTGAATCCCTGAAGCTCTTCTCTACCTAGAAATGTTCTGGCACAGATCCTGGTTATCTCTCTTTCTCTCTGTCTCATACACACACACACACACACACACACACACACACACACACACACACACACACTCAGCCATGTGGCCTCTTGTTACCCTTCAATATTCACATCTTACTTTAAATGTTACCTCTGCAGAAAGGCCTTACCTGAGTGATCTAAGTATAAGAATTCCATTCTTCCCTTAGACTCACCATACCTCTGGGAGTCTCTGTCATACATCTCTCTGCTCTTTCCTTCCACAGCACTCTTCTCAACTTAGAATTTCATATGTATTTCTTTTCTTTACAAGCTTATTGTCTATTTCCCCCACAAGTCTGAAGTTCCATCCTGAAAACAGGGATGGTCTGATTTGTTCACAGCTATACTCCTAGGGCTTAACTAATATTGTTTGAGCAAATGAATAAATGAAAAAATGAAATGTCTCCTTTGTCCTCTCTGTCAAGAGTATTAATTCCCATGCAGTGGTATACTGAAGCCAGTTCTTTGACAGCTCACAAGAGCCAATTGTTAAATTTTCAGGAATTTAGTGAGCCAATTGTTAAACTGTTAGCTTGAAATCAGCCATATGCTGAGAGTATTTATACCATGGACATTAGCAAATGCTACATGTCAAGACTTTTTTTTCCCAAAAAGCTGGTTTACCAACACACCAATCCTCTCATTTCCTAAATCCAACTATAAATATTGAGATATCATGGCAAAAAACATGGCCCATAGGTTACTTAAAATCTTTCGATAAAAAAACGCTTGAAATTTCAAAAAAAATACTAACTACATGCTACACAATTATTTTCCTGTCAGGAATACTTGGACTTTTTATAAGCTAAATTATAATATAAAAATATGTGTCTCTGATTTCCTAAAGTTTTTGTTTCTGTTTTTCAGACCCTTATGTGAAGATTCATCTGATGCAGAATGGCAAGAGGCTGAAGAAGAAAAAGACAACGATTAAAAAGAACACACTTAACCCCTACTACAATGAGTCATTCAGCTTTGAAGTACCCTTCGAGCAAATCCAGGTAATGTCAAACATATTTTTTCTTCCCATTCAATTTCATTTCTTCAGATCATATAAATTAAACACACGGATCTTGTGAATTATCAATGCATATGCCTCCATTAGAACTGCTATTCTTGGGCTTCCCTGGTGGCGCAGTGGTTGAGAGTCCGCCTGCCGATGCAGGGGACGCGGGTTCATGCCCCGGTCCGGGAAGATCCCACATGCCGTGGAGAGGCTGGGCCCGTGAGCCATGGCCGCTGGGCCTGCACATCTGGAGCCTGTGCTCCGCAATGGGAGAGGCCACAACAGTGAGAGGCCCGCATACCGCAAAAAAAAGAAAAGTATAACAGAACTGCTATTCTCATTCCATGCACATTTAATGCTCAAACTACATCAAGAGGGAAATGATAAAATATACAGCACAGGATGTGCTGATTCATCAGCCAAAAACAGCTGTCATTCTGTTGAGCAGAAATAAAGTAGGAAAAAGAACAGAACCACTCTACTAATTCAAACAGTACATCCACAAAGGTTAAAAGGTCGAGAGAAAATAAGCTTTCACTCTTTACTCCCAGGCCACAATATGTAATTCTCATTATCACCTCTTTGTAGCAAAAAAAAAAAAAGTAGTGATAAAGGAAACATTTTGGTTGATGCTAAATATGCAGCATCTTTAATCTTTCGCTATTAAAAAATAATTAACAGTAGAAAAATTAGGCTAAGTTGTATTTTTCATTGTTTAAATTCAGCTTCCTGTTTCTGAGTTGGAATGGATGGTTATTTTTGTAAAGACAGAACCTTAATTTGCTAGATAATATTTGTTATGATAGGAATTATCCTATTAAAAGACCTTGTGGTTAACATGTTCAAAATAGGGTGCTACATGTAGACACAGTGATAGCATATGATCTTATTATTTAGTCATTCTTAAATACTTTTAGGTTTTCTTACGTCATATTCATAGTTAGGCTCTTGGATCCAAAGTTCGCATCCATTAATTATGGGCTATTCTTGCTAATCTTTCTTCTTTTTTTTTAATATTTATTTATTTATGGCTGCGTTGGGTCTTCGTTGCTGTGTGTGGGATTTCTCCAGTTGCCGAGAGTGGGGGCTACTCTTCCTTGCAGTGCTCGGGCTTCTCATTGCAGTGGCTTCTCTTTTTGCGGAGCACGGGCTTCAGTAGTTGTGGCTCGCAGACTTAGTTGCCCCGCGGCATGTAGGAACTTCCTGGACCAGGGCTCGAAACCGTGTCCCCTGCGTTGGCAGGCGGATTTCCATTGGCAGGCAGATTCCCAACCACGGCGCTACCAGGGAAGCCCTATTCTTGCTAATCTTTAATGGGTATCAGAGAGTCAAATTTCTTAAAGCCACACTATTTTTACACTTTATAAAAAAATTGATGTGGGTCTATCTTTTCAGTCCTATAGAAGTTTGCTCATGACTTGAAGGAGAGATGAAGGGTAGGCATCAAAACTACAGCATGGAACCTTCTAATGGTCCAGAATAACAAAATGCAGCAAATATTCTTCAGTTGCATATTTTTATTTTTAACCTAGTCTTAAAATACAGTACCGTAGGAATGAATCACACCTTTATTCCATGAAGAAAGCTAATATAATAGCTACATTTATTGTATATTTATTTTGTACCTAGGCCCAAGGTAAGCACTTTACCTGCATAATCTCATTTAATCCTTACAATAATCTTATAAGCAAGGTACTATTATTACCCCAATTTTATACACATATAAGGAAACTGAGGCTTAGAATTGTCTCATATATAAAATAGGAATAATAACAGAATCCATGTCAAAGTGAGACCATGCATGTAAAAGCATTTGGAACGGTGCTAAGCACATACAAACACTCAGTAAATTGTTCCCATCATTCTTATTCACGATGCTAATGTTGTCTTTTATTCAAATTAACATTTTATGTATTAGAAAATGGATCTAACAATAAGATTAAAACAATATGTAAATCAGCACTTTCCAACAGAACTCTGTAAGGATGGAAACGTCATCAGTATTGTCCAGTAGGGTAGCCACCAGCCATAGGTAGGTCATGAGCACCTCAGCCACTAGTATAAACAAGGAACTTTAATTTTAATTTATTTAAATTTAAACAGCTACATGTGGCTAGTAGCTACTGTATAATATAAGGCAGTTTTTTAAATCATCAGTAATCCCACCATCCTCACAGTAGTTCATGGTTTTTATATAACCTTTCTTATATACATTTTCACATGGCAGCCGATTGTACATACTTATTTACTTTCAATAGCTGTTATATAAGTAAATGACATTGCAGAAGACACTGATTCCCTGTCCCCAGTCACTTGTTTACTAGCCTGAACCAGTGAGCTCACTGCTTTGGACCCACTGGCAACCTAAGACATCCAATTTCTCCAACAATTTATTTTGCAATATTTATTCAGTGAACTCTTTTTTGAGTTCTGAGACATTATTCCTATGGAAACTAACACCGCCTGGCATTTTGTGTTTTAATTCCACAAAACAATATGAGGCAGGACATTGAGATGAAAAATCCTATTGTAAATCTTCTCCTTTGAGCTACAATTCTATACCTTTAAAAACAAAATACATGTCCCTTTTCAACTATAAATTCCAGCAAATGCAAATATATTGAAAATGAAGCACATTAAAAACAAGATGTATGCTAGGTTTCTGGGGCAGCCTTTCAGAGAAGATAACATTTTGTCAGGACAGAGAGAACCTCAGCCCAATACACAGTCCATGAGGCATGGAAATAATGAGCATGCCTTTGACTGCATCCCTTCTTCACCGCTCCTAAAGTCAATTTGTTCTTTTCTTTCTTCTTTTCCCCAATAGGCTGCTATCCTAGTCTTTGCATTTCCCTAGAGAAAATAATTGAGCATTTAACATGCTATAATAGGGGCTTAGGTTTTTTTTTTTTGGGGGGGGGGGCTTAGGTTTTATTTACCCTGAGGTTATACGATTGTCTGTCTTTCTATCTGTCTCTATCCATATGAAATACATTGAGAGAAGCAAAATATGCTGATTTCCAAAAGCATATGAAAAGGTTGCAAACCACCCCCCACCAAAAAATGTATAGATTACATATGCAGCTGAAAAAATTAACCCAAGGCCTTTATAAGGATATTTTGTCTTGATTGCTACTAATCAATACATTCCTAGGTGAAAGAATCAAAATTCACTCTAACTATTCACTCCAACCTCCAAAATCCTTGCTACTTTTGTGCATGACGACCCTACTGTCCCTGTCCCTCATTCCTTGCAATATGACTGCATCCAGATGAATTCGCTTGGGAAAGGTGCTCAGAACCAAGGTGATTCTGTTCTTGGTTTCGAATGCCATCCAGTGAATAGGTAATTCCCTTGATAATGGAATCAATCCAAGGCGGCACAAGGAAAGATGGAAATTTGTTTCCTTTACTGCCCATGTGTTGCATTTTACATTCTAAATTCCACTTTCAGATCTCTGATCTGAAGCTGTATGTTGGTGACATCTCTCAGCACATTCGCCCAATAATGCAGTCCTCAGAGTACAAAGCCCAGTAAAGGGCCACAACCAAGCAGGATCTTCATCTGGCCCTAGCTTCCATCATTACATTTTCTGCTTCTTTTGCCTCTGGCCACCAAATGCTACACATTCTACTTTATTCTAAATTTTTCCTTTATCTTCTCCCTTGGTTTCTAGATTGGAGCCATTGCCTATTTTGACTAAGCAAATTCATTACTTAGGAAGAACTAAAACATACTTTTAAAAAGTGTTTCTTTCGTGTCAAAATTGTATGGGTTTGCTTTCACCAGTTCAAAAAAGTAAGGCATTAAATAAACCCTCACAACCTAATGGAATCACTGGAGTAAATCTTGTGTGGCCTATAGAGTTATTCCAGTTGATGTCAATGCTGGATACACAGTTACTTAATAAATGCTATTGAGAGAATATATGAATGAGAAAAATTATCTTTAGTTAATTACTACTTTTTTAAGACTTTCACTCTGTTGTCACACTTTAAACTCACAATAATCATGTGATTAGCTGAAATTCTATATTAGTTTTATGTAAAACTATGCTGGCTCTTCCCACCTGAAATAGGATTGCAGTACATGGTTGCTTTGAAAATTGTAACCAAAAAAAAAAAAAAAGATCTGAGTACTAATGCCAGAAATTCTGCTGATGAAACAATGGAAACAACTGGATTTAAAGGTGAATACAGGGGACTTCCCTGGTGGTCCAGTGGTTAAGACTTTGCCTTCCAATGCAGGAGGTGCGGGTTCGACCCCTGGTCGGGGAGCTACACTCCCACATGCCTTGCGGCCAAAAAAAACCAAAACAGAAGCAATATTGTAACAAATTCAATAAAGACTTAAAAAAAAAAAAATGAATACAAGTTGACATGGGCAGCCGGGCATGGTATTTTATAACATGGACTCCCGAAACCAAACCACTCATTTCTTATATGACTTCAGGCATGTGATTTAACCTCTCTGAGCTTCAGCATCTTATCTCTATAATGTCAGTGTTAACAGGATCTATTGTAACTGAATAGTTCACATGCAAGTCTTAGAATTGTGCCAAAATTAACATTTACTGAGTATTTTGAAGATGCTGAAGGAGATGATGATGATGTAATAATGGCAGGGACTGGACTCGGGTTTTCACGTTCAGGCCATTTTCCTCCTTGTCCTGGTGTTTGGAGATTGGGTCTTCTTATTTCCAACTGCTTTGATCTCAAGGAAGCTAGGTAGTAGGGCTTTATCTCTAGAGCTGGATGATTAATGTTTATTTTGTGTCCTCTTTCAGAAAGTGCAAGTGGTGGTAACTGTTTTGGACTATGACAAGATTGGCAAGAACGATGCCATCGGCAAAGTCTTTGTGGGCTACAATAGCACCGGCGCGGAGCTGCGACATTGGTCAGATATGCTGGCCAACCCCAGGCGACCCATTGCCCAATGGCACACCCTACAGGTAGAGGAGGAAGTTGACGCCATGCTGGCCGTCAAGAAGTGAAGGGAAGGAGCCTTTCTGCATTTGTCCACGTAGTGCTCTTTAGCCAGTATCTGTAAATACCTCAGTAATATGGGTCCTTTCATTTTCCCAGCCATGCATTCCTAACACAAATCAGTGGTACTTCAAATCCTGTTTTAATTTGCACAGATTTAAACGTAGAGAGCCCCTAAGCCCTTCGTCATACCACTGCTCTCCAAATCTACTCTTCTTTTAAGCAATATGCTGTGTAGATAGAGCATGACTGAAATTATTTATTGTATCACACTGTTGTATATACCAGTATGCTAAAGATTTATTTCTAGTTTGTGCATTTGTATGTTGTAAGCGTTTCCTAATCTGTGTATATCTAGATGTTTTTAATAAGATGTTCTATTTTAAACTATGTAAATTGACTGAGACATAGGAGAGCTGATAATATATTATAGGGTAAATATAGTATTGTCTGCATTCCAGCAAAAATATCAACTTGTAAGGCACTAGTACAGTGAAACTGACATCTTAAAGGACAACTTAAACCTGAGCTTTCTATTGAATCATATGAGCACCAAGATACGCTGACACCACATATTTGGTGGATGAATCCAATTTTGCAGAATTTCTTCACAGGCAAATTAGCATGATCTGAGCAGCATCCAGCCTGACCTCCAGGAATTACAGCCACAAACCAGAATAGCACCTGTCTGTACATATCTACAGAGCTCAAGTTATGCTTCACTCTTACATTCGAGGAAGCAACTGAACAGGGGTCAATGATTTCACATTACTGCATATAGAGTAATGACACGATGGTGTTCCGTGTGTGTGTGTGTGTGTGTGTGTTTCACATTACTGCATATAGAGTAATGACACGATGGTGTTCCGTGTGTGTGTGTGTGTGTGTGTGTGTACGTGTGCATTTGTTTGGGGATGGGGTGGGTGGGAAAGAAGCTGAGGAGAGAAGTCAGCATTTCTGAAATACTGCCTGACTATTTAAAAAGAAAAAAGTAGCTCTCCGTTAACACCTTTATACAAAATGTGCATCCTGTGAATTCTGTTCCAGATTTCACACCTACTATAACTTCAAAAGGTTTGCACATCAGACTTTGTAACAAAATATTTTACTATACAAAACCAGATTAGAAGGAATGCAGAATATTTTTAACACAGCAATCTGTGCTTATGACACAAAATTACTTTGTGGTAAGCAGACAGTATTGTAATCCCAACAAAAGAGGAAAAAATAAAACAATTAGCCATAGTTCTGAATGCACTTCCATTAAGCCAAAACAGACAGCTAGTGATCTTTTTATATGCTCTTTTTACGTAAATAAGTTTTAATTTGTCCTTTAAAAAAAGGTGAAACAAAACCAAGAACAAGTTCTAGAAAACTGAAGCAACCTCTGATGTATACTAGATGCTTGATTTAGGAGGAGTTTTTAAATGTTTTCAGTGTTATTATGTAGTAAATGGCACTATTACAAAGCTACTAGTCATTCCATAAGAGTCTTAAAGGACTGCTCTGTGTAACACTGTGACTGCCCTGTGTGCTTAGACACGTAATGTAGTTTCCTCAGTGGATAGCACTCAATCTATTCCGTAGTGATATTGTAACAATACTGCCATTCCCTCCTACTGCACTGCCCAAGGTGTGTGTAGCACAAACCGTTCTCATTACAAAGGACCAATTCAGCACTGAAAAGCTATGCATAGGACAAGAAAGATACAAAGCATGGGGTGGAACACACAGCATTTCGTCAAGCACTGTGCAATATTCCCTATTTTTCCCCACTATGTTAGACCACCGCTTTGCCGAAAGGCAGCCCATGATCTCACACTGCATGTAGCCTTTTCTCCCACTCACCTCTGTGACCCTTTTCACTCGCAGGCCACAGAGAGTAGTGATGCTCTGAAGTGAAAGTTTTGTCTCCAAAAATACCAAAACAAAATGAAGGAAAACTAAGCATTAGCCTCACGTTCAGACTTTCAGATATCGCACCATGGCTTTTACAACTGCAAAGAGAATTCAAAAAGGGCTGATGGGAAGCTTCAAACATGGGGTTGGCTGTTTCCTGATAAAACTACAATTCCTGTCTTGTTCTTTCCTCATCAAAGAATAGGCAAGCCCTTTGGCCTTTCAGCCCAGTCGTAGCAAACTCCTTAGAACTGGGATAGACCTGGAGGACAAAGGGAGAATAACATCTCCCTCTTCCATGGATGGTCCATACTTTTTTCAAAAGGTAGGTAATAGAAAATGCACAAGTCACGATGTGAGATTAAATACCAGTTTGAACAGAAGATTCAGATGAGACTCCTTCCAACTTCAAAGATCGGACCTTACCAAAGAGAGTTGACTGACTTTTAAAAATTCCTTGAATACCAGAAAATGACATTTGATTTCACCATATTTCAGTTTTAAGTTGTTCACGCTGAAACAAACATTTTGAAACAAGCAGGTTCGAGCTGCCGAATACACATCATTTCTTGCATTAAAGCATGATTAATGCATTCTCTTGCAACACTGCCAGACATGGGATATTGTCACGATAGAATTAGTTGGTACTACGCTACCTGTCACAAGTCAGTGACCGAACCTGCTTTAAGACCAAGATTCATCCTCCAATAAGCCACACGTACCTTTCTGACAGAGCTGTGTAAAGTATTAGAATCTGATGCTCTAGAAAGATCCTAGTTGCCTTTGTGTATATTTACTGCCTGCTTGAGTGCTGCTCTGTGTGGGTATTCTCTGTATCTTGTAGAAATGTTGGGGTGTTTTCTTCTGCCATATGGCTCGTGGCCCGCGAGTCAACTCCTTAGCTGTATTTTACCTTCATTTTTGACGAGGTAGTTTAAATTTTGTTTCATTTCGTGTAGTGAATTCCACAGTTTTCTGATTGTTGTTAAAAATGACTTAACATATTACACAGATATTCAATAAAAATGTTTTATTTCCTGTTGATGTTGCTGCCTTTCAACCCTTCTTCTTACCTGACTCTGGTGGGGAGTCCATGGCCTATTGACTTTGGAGCCTGCTGGAAGCAGGGGCACCTAAACAAAAGCTTGCACTGAATGCCAACCTCTGAGTCATGTCTATGAAGACAGAATGGCTGGAGGGAAAACGATGCCCAGAGAGCATTTGGCCATTCCTGCCCAGTTCCTGGGCATGTCTTTCTCAGCATGTGTCTCTCTGTTCCTGTTTATGATGAGTTCACCAGGCACACTTTCAGGCTTCCTGCTTTGCCCTAAATGGGTCCTCCAGGATTTTCATACTCTAGAGTCTGAGTCCCATAAGCCTCTCCAGAATGGAATTAAAAATAAGATATTTTAAAGCCAGTCTTCAAAGGAGAGCATGACACATTAACTTCCCTGCCTACCACAATTACTAGGTAAAACAAGTAGACATCTTTCCCCAATAAATGCAACATTCATCAGGTGCCTGCTGTGTACCGTGTTTTTCCTGGGTGATGGAGATACAGCAAATGATGTAATAAGATTCACCTGGTCCCAAAGAGCCCACAGTCTCAGGCGGACATGTAAATGCAGTATCCCAAGATGCTATGAGGTACACCCTGAGTCCCTGAGAACTTTCACCAGACCAATCCCAGTGGACACGATATTGAGCCACCCTCACCCCCCTTCAGCACCTAGAAGCTGCTAGAAGCCTTGCCTGCTGACAGCTCACAGCCCTGTCCCTCTGCCCTCTGCTGAGGAGACTCCCTTACCTGAGGTCACGCGTCCTCCCAGGGGGTGCAGCTCACATTCCGTGGCCCACAGTGGACCTCTTGCGCCGTCATGGAGGGTTAGTTGACGGTGCTTGTGCAACCGCAGTGCTGTTCGACTTCTCCCTCCGCCCCGTCAGTAGTCCTCACTCCTTCACGGGTGGCACTCCCAAGGGCACTCGCCAATAAGACTCCTTCTCAGAATCCATACCCTGGGATTCCTGTCTTTGGGGGAAGAGATAGGAAGAGAAGACTTCTAGAGAATACAATACCAGAGGGAAATCCTAAAGGAACTGGTAGGAGTTATCCAAGTCCATGAGTGGGCAAGACTGTGGCAACATTTATCTCATTTAACAAGGCTTAAGGCTCACTCATGATAAGGTCTCTGATAGCTGCCTATATCTTACTCCCTTCAGCAGCTTTTACTGGGCTCTGCCAGGTAAGGGTAAGGACTAAGCCCAAGCAGCTTAGACAGCCAGGGAAAAGGCCACCTAACCACTGTTTCTGAGGAAACAATTGGCAGAGGTCTAAATGTAAGGTGAGAAAAGAAAACTTAAGACCCGTGAGGGTAAGGAGCAAAAAAAAAAAAAAAAAAAAAAAAAAAAAAAAATCAGCATTATAAGTAAAATTGTTCAGTTTTCAATGGTGAGCATTTTGTTTTCCTTAAATAGCTCTTGACATTAGTTTACAAAAAGAATGTTTCTTAATGAAGTGCCAAAAAGAAAAATCACCATATCCTGTTTTCAGTGTCTGTATTTCAAATAAGGAATTTAATATAAGAAATTGGCCCCATAAAAGATCTGAGAAAGCCAAGCAGAGACAGCAGGTTAACTCAGAGGTGAACAGATACCACCTGTAATTATATGCTAGGGCTGCCCTAACAAAATACCACAGACCTGGTGGCTTAACCAAAGAAAATTTATTTTCTCACAGTTTTGGAGGTCAGAAGTCTGAGATCAAGGTGTTGGCAGGGTTGGTTTCTTCTGAGATCTCTCTCCTTGGCTTGTAGGTGGCATCTTGTCCCTGTGTGTTCACCTGGACTTCCCTCTATGTGTGTCTGTGTCCTAACCTCCTCTTCTTACAAGGACATGAGTCATATTGGATTAGGGTCCACCCTAACGACCTCATTTACGCTTAATTACCTCTTTAAGCACCCTATCTCCAAATACAGTCACATTCCGAGGTATTAGGGAGTTAGGACTTCAGCATATAAATTGGGGGTGGGGCGTAACTGAGCCCATAACACCACCCCTAAGGCTGGAAAAACAAAATGGAGAAGAGATGTTAACGCAGCCCAGAACCATA